GGAATAGTGCTGGGTGGTATATTTTTAGGAACCTTTGCAGGTTTAGTCGGTTTCTGGAATCCATCTGAATCGTCCTCGTTGTCTGAGTTATCACGTGGTTTGCGTTTCTGTTGTGTGATTGGCTGTGTAATGCTTGCATGAGAAAGAGCAATATTCAACTTACCCCTCAGCTTATCCAGCAGAATCTTCTTCCTTTCTATCTCCTTTTTCAGGATGTCCGAATGATAGTCCTTGTCCGTAACTGGTCTATTGGCCGATAAATCCCGGACGATTTCGCTGACGGTAGAAATATTAATTTCTAAGCCAGTGATTTCCTTTTGTAGAGTAGCTATTTCATGCTCCGTGAGAACGTGATCAGCATTGTCCTGGTCCATATCAGTGGCCGCCGTATTCGAGCTGTCCGAAACAGGATCCATAGCTTTATCAGGTGGAACTTCAGATGGAATCTTTCGCCGAGCCGTCTCCAATATCAGTCCACTCCCATTTCCAAATAATGTTGGACAATCGTCCAACAGGGGCCGGGATGTTCCGGTTTGACTACAAACTTTAACTATGCCAATGTTCCGGTTTGATTAGAAACAAACTTTTCTCTGCCTCAGAATGGCAACAGTGAGAACTTGACTTTCGATTCGTTATGACGCAGCTAGAACGCTGCTCCTGAGATGTAACATTAGATTCGATTCTAGATTCTAGATTAGATTAATTTTAGTATATAATAAATCCTTTTAAAACTGGATTGAGTATTTGATCATAGAATTATAGCTGAACCATTGCTTGCAGAAATTTAGATGTGGCATTTGGATATGTCGTTAGATAGTTAGATGCGTAGGCAGTGACATTCGTGATTCGAATAGTGTACATTAGTGCATACATAAACAGATAGTGTTACTTAAAAATTTTTTTTAATCATTTCTTTTAGTACCACCACTAGTATTAATAACATCTGCAGGGACTGAAAAGAGAACTAATACTCAAACAATATATTGCAATTGTACTAAGAGTTTTTGAAGCTAAAAATTCTACACAACATGCAACTATCATACTGCAAATGCTTAGATGTTATCTTGCAGAAGCATAGTGGAGATTCATTAATAAAAGTGTTGACTGTTTTTGGCTATGCTGTGCAACATTTATAATGTATTATGGTGAATGACTAGTAAAAATTATCCACTTCCTGTGGTCGTTGCCTAATTATTAAAAATATTTTTATAATTGTTATCTGTTCTTAGAATTTTCATAACATTAGCCATATTATTTAACATTCTGTTATTTACCAGCAATTTTATAATCTGCAATTTACAATTTTTGATTTTTTCTAAAATTAACACCTTCTTACACAATTTGCAAATGAGTTCAATAGCCAAACATTCCGTTTGAAATTGCATTTGAAGAACTGTTGTAGCATTCATTGTTGCAGCATTATGCAACAAACATTTCGCTGTTCATTAAAATATAGGAACAATTTTCACTCACATTTTGAGTGAGAAGTTGTTTTCAACTCAGCTGCACTTACACTCGCAGTTGTATTCAGAATTTATTTTGACGATGGACTTTCATTATTTGTCATATCCATTAAAGGAGATTTATTTTAAGTGTCAGCAGTTTTTTCTGGTGTAACAGCATCTACAGATGACCATCTACCATGAATATTCTTCACACATGCAGGAGTTTTTTTAGACCCGCTGATGCTTTGGGTCTATGATACCACTTGCTAATAACATACGTAAAAATTATATACATTATGATAGCATACGTAAAAACAGAGAAATTTACCAGTATAATCAAAATAAAACAAATTCACAAATAAAATATTATCAAGAGTTTTAGAAGGTAAACAAAGATAACTGTCGAACACTAAATCCCACGCTTGAAAAATGTAAACAAACGCGCCGAAAGCAGTTACAGTTACGACTAAGATCACCGGGAATGAAACAATTGTAAAATAACGCTTTTAAATGTTTGTCTACCATTTTAAAAAACATTTAAAGGTTAGTATTTACTGTAAGCGATGTTAAGTATAAAATTTATAGACAGGAGTTGTAGTTTACCAAAAATAATTTAAATAAAGGAATTTTAATAAAGAGTCTACTGTTGGCATATGAAACCCGAAAATTTTCGCGATTACACTTCGCACAAGCGCCCATTAGCGGCTGAGCGGTAAAATCGCTGGACACTGGTAGTTTGGTCCAAGTTTCGAATACCAGCGCATTTTAACATGGGAATTCTTTTAAAAACGAACAATTAAAATCTGGCTTCGGCCTGCTCAGATGGCAGGCTTGCCCGCTAGTTGTCCTTATAAAAACTGCTCCCTTCGTCTTATGAAACTGAAAAGAATTTAAATAATGGAATTAAAGAGTTAATAGCTTATTTAATTAATTAATGGAATCATTTTCACTTATTCTTAGTAGCCCAAAGGGGCAATTTGCCCAGAGGAGCTATTAATTTCATTTTGTCATTTTGCATTGATTCACTATGAATCGTGAATCACTTTTTAAATTGATGCCAACAAATATTAGAGCCCTGTACTATATTTAAAGAAATTAAATAATGAAGAATCTGCATAAATGTATGTATGTTTCTCCCATTGTGACAAAACAACAGTACATAGAGCCATCAAATTTTAAATAACATGCGTCTCCACCCAAATATGGGCATTTGAAAGCCCAAATTAATTTTGACCCTTAGCGCTCCGTTTGCTCTGCTATGGGGCCACCTGGCATTTGTTCAGCAGCTTTGTAGGCTCCACTGCAGAGCCAAATGTTTTTAGCTCCATTGGCTCCGCTACGTCATCATCCGCCATTTGTTCCGCAGCTCCGTAGGCTCTGCTGTGGAGACAAATGTTTTTAGCATGATTATGCTTAAGATGCCAGGGTATCATCGCTGTTGGCAATTGTTATCTGTAGTTAACACATGCTCAGTCTCTGTACTGTTATAATTAAACCATTTTTAACCTTTCTTATGCAACATGGAGAAAAGAATTATTATGATGAGAATTTAGAGTTGAGGGGTTGTGAAGACATGTTTGATTTTCAAGTGTTAAAAGATATTGACAGTTAAAAAACAATGTTCATTATAATTCTGACACTTCAAGTAGTGGTTCCGAAATCATACTACCAAAGAAACGACGAATGAGAATTATTGAAAGTGAAGATGAAGGTTGCAAGCACGGCAAGTGTCTGAGAGCAGCTAGACATCTCTCTAAATCATCTCAAACGTGCTCGATAGGATTCAAGTCCGGAGATCGAGCTGGCCACTCCATGTGCATAATTGTTTCCTGTTGAAGATAATCATCTAACTATGTAATCCCTGTGTCGTCTTGAGTTATTGTCCTGTAACAGGAAAGCATCACCTATTGCCCAGCATATGGGTGCACATAAGCATCAAGGATGTCATCTCTATAAACTGGAGCATTCACGGTTTCCATTGGAAAGCCATGGAGGTCTGTGCGTCCATCCAAAGAGATGCCACCCCAAACACAGACACTGCCTCTTCCGTATGCATCTCTTTAACGGATGATAACGGGTTCCAGGTTCTTTCCATATCAAATAACGCCTACTATCATTTTCTAGACTAAATCTGGACTCATCCGTAAAGAGAACAGCCCTCCACTGATCAAGCATCCAGTGGACATGTCGTGTCTACTGCAAACGGTCCGTCCTATGGCTGGCCGTCTTGCATACAGACCACCTTCGTGAAGCCTTCTACGCATAGTTGGCATTGACACCAACCTCCTGGTGGCTGCAGCAAGGGAGGATCTAAGAAGAGTTGGAGTAGCGGTTCTATTCCTGCGTGCACATAATGTCAAATATCGGTCATCGGCACTCGTAGCAGTTGGCCGTCCTTGGCTGAACCTCCTAGAGGCCGAATCTGTGATTTGAAATCGCCTCCAAAGTATATGAACCACAGAAGGACTCGCATTCAGCCATCTGGCCACTTCTGTTTGACTTTATCCTGCCTCTAGTCTCCCAATGGCTCTTCATCGTAGTTCTGTAGGCAAATGATGCCTGGAGGTCATTGTTACGAATTGGCTATCTCAGATTTCTGATGTCACCATCACAGTAAAATATGTGGGCTTGCTCTCAAACATGGACTTTTTCTCTTCTTGCAGATGACGTATTCCAAGTGCAGTGCCACTAATTTGCATATTGCAGTTTTACTCAACTACTCTTACTTGGCAACATATTCAAATTTTACACAGTTTGGCTTATTTTTGAGGGAGTTATCGTTATTTTTGCGATTTTTCCCTAATTTATGATAACCAGTGTACTTTCTTTGAGCATTTGAGAACATTTTCTGGCCAAACATGATGAGTGTGTTTTTACTTTGACATCATAATTGTAGACTCACTCTGCATCAAACAATGAGGATTCTTATTTTTATGATTCAGAATTTCTTGAGAAATTGTATTGAGATTCATCCTGATGTTGTGTTTGCAGATATGGACAGTTTCCAATTTAAATGCTTTTTCCATTTTCTGTTAGATAATGTGAAATCCATCTGAAATGTTACAATTGCATCAATATTAACAATAACTTATCTATGGTTTCTGTGTTTGGTTTTAGTATGTTGAACCAAACTGATTTCAGTATGTTAAACCAAATAAGTATTATCATTAAGGCCAATTCTTAAAGTTACTATTTTCATTTTCTAAATTAACAAAAGCAACAACTAAAACAAGGACAGATAGAAGGCTGGTTAAAAAAGTATGTTTTGTTAAATAGTCTGCATATTTAGGTTAAAAAAGTATGTTTTGTTAAATAGTCTGCATAGTTAGATTAGTATAGTATACAGTTCTCCTTTGTAATGGTAAATTCTTTTATATATAAAAAGGTCCCAAAATGCCCTTTAGTTTTAGCTTCCTTTAACTCAGGGGGGGGGAAATTAATATGACATAAAATAAAAATTTGGCACAATTGAATATTTTGTTCTATTGGATAAAAACTGTAATTTAACTGAGTTGTTGGTAATGTATGTTTATTTATTTATTTATTTATTTTAAGGATTTGATGTGGTGGTAGCTGCACTATTAGGAGCTGATGAATTTGGCTTTTCAACAACACCTTTAATTGCTCTTGGATGTACAATGATGCGAAAGTGCCACTTAAATACTTGTCCAGTTGGAATTGCAACTCAGGTTTGTATGATATAGTTCTGGTATTTTTAATAGTTTCTTGATTTTGAAATTCACTGTCACTCTGTAGAGACATTAGGTTATTTCAAAGCAGGAGACATGAAAAATGTACAATAATACCCTCGTCGGGACTCGAACCTCAGACCTCTCGAATATGTGCTCAGCGTGTTGACCATTACACAATGAGCGCATGCTAAGAAGGTAGTAGAAATACCTTATAACTCTTTTAGAAAGCATATGGAATATTTTTCAGCATTGTGTTTCAATATATAACAGTGAAACCTCAATTCATTCACAAATGTAATTCATTTCTGGAGGCCGTTTGTTCTTCAACCTTAAATGTTCATGAAAAGATACTATTTTCTCCATAGGCTTAAATGAATAATGGATTTATTTGTTCCTGAAAATTTCTTATTTAAGTGTTTACAACAGTATTTTATGCACAAGTTCATAACATAGTACCAATGAAAATGATTAAATTTAAAATTAAAAAATCACAGTATTTAAGAGATGAAAAATAATGAAAATTTAGTTTTATTATACTTGTTTGAAGGAGAGCTGATGGTATATATGGAAGCTCATCATAAAGGGAAGGAAAGAAATGCTATTTATTCATAAAAGGCATCAGGTAACCATCTTTCTGAAGCTTCTTTTTTTCTTTCTCTCTTAATGCCACTTGACTGTATTTGAGACTCACTTGTTCTCTCTCTCACTAAAAATGTATCCAGTGTAGCTAGCTTACTTTTGTCTACATTTTAAAATTTTTCTAAAGGAAGATATGGCATTGCAACTGGAAATGCTTGTGCTGTGGCCTTCTGTTTTATCTGGGTGCTATTCCACAAAGTTGCACTTTACACAGTATTTTGCTAAAGTTTCACATATGAAGAACTAGGATTATCTTCTTATTCTCTTTCTTGTGAAGATATTTCATCTTTTATTGCTGAAGTTTTTCCAGCTGTTCTGTGCTGATCTGATTTTTTTGGCCCTTATGGACTGCACCCATGTTTTCATTGCTAACTTCTAAACTTATTGTTTTGCCAAGGCATACAGTATCATAGATAAGAAAAAAAAAAGCTGTTGGAGTCAAAGCACTTGATTTCTGTCTGTAATACAATGTGATTATAATTTCCTCTAGATTAAATTTATAATCTTATCAGTCATTTGACACCAGGCTTTTTTCAATGAAAAGCAATTGAAAATGTTCAATTTATGTTTTCAGAAGTCTGTGAGTGTTAGTTTTCTATGTCACAGATTACCTCAAAAACACATATTAAAATTATTTATCGTCTTGTTTGTTACTTGAGAAATTGTTCATCTCCCGAGATACTTTTTGTTCAGAAAATTGTTTGGGATAAGAAGGGCTCATAACACAAAGTTTCACTGTATTCTAAATTTTTTTATTGAATCCTGAATACAGTTATTTTCTAGAAAGTAAAGTAATGTATAATATTAATATATTGAGCTGCAACTCACAATAACAGTTTATCTACTCAAATAAAATAATTTTATAGTAATGGATTAAATAGAGAGAAAGTGAATGCATTTCTGTTTCTTAAAATCCACATTTTGATCTATAACTTACTTCTATGATAACTTTTTTTTTTTTTTTTTTAAATATTTATACCTGCTGGTTAGTGAGAGTGAAGTGTAATACTCTTTTAAATTAATTAAAAAAATATTAAATTTAATATAGAATTGAAATGCCTACCAGTAATACAATCCTGTAAAGCCAAATTTGGCTTAAATTTAAACATTATTAATTTTATTTGTAATTTGTTAACTGGATTCTGATATAATGCTTACCTTCCACTGTTAAATATTGTGGAGGAGACTGCAATGTAATAATTATTCCTGTTTCACAGTTATTTTGTGCCTATTTTTAAATAATATCAGTAACTGGAAGATACTTTTATCATTAGGATCCCGAATTGCGGAAAAAGTTTGCTGGCTTACCTGAACATGTAACCAGTTATTTCTTTTTTTTAGCTGAAGAGGTATGTCGTAAAAAATTAATATCCTTTTGTAGGATAATTTTTTAGGCTGTTTGTTGTGTGATCAGTGAATTTCAATTGTTCCAGGTAAGAAAATACATGTCTAAACTCCATATACGTAACTTTCAAGATCTTGTGGGTAGGACAGATCTTCTGGTTGTTCGGGATAATAAGGAACACAAGAAAGCATCTTTGTTAGACTTTTCTTCTCTTCTGAAAATGGCATCACCTCTTAGGAAACCATCAGCACCAATTATAGGAGGAAGTATATCTCAAGATTTTGAACTGGATAAGAGACTAGTTTGTGCTATTTCATTATTATTATTAATTTTTGTGGTATAATTTGCAATTAATATTTTGAAGGTTTTTTTAAATTAATTTATTCAATTAGCTCTTTTACTGTAATGCAGTTTATTTAAATTTTTTTTTTTTTTTTTTTTTGCTGTTGTTTTATTATAAATAAGAAGGTGTGAATTTAAAGATGTATATATTTACACATTTTGTAGTATTAAACTGAAAGAATGAAAAAAAATGAATGGTGTTTTGTATAATCGTTTTTATAAATTCATTGAGGACTGGCTCTGAAAACCTGTTTTGCGATAAGGTTGATTCTTTGAAGATTGGCTGTTGTTAAATTATTATTAAACTGATTATAGTCTAATGAAAATGTGTCTGAAGTTTATTAATTTTGACTTAAATTTACTGTTAAGTGTAAAACACATCTTAGACCACTTACAAGCATTATTTATTCATACAGAGGAACAAAACCTGGGAGGGAGGAAGGCATTTCTTACCTTGGATAGGAAGAGGTTAATACCAATTTCTTTTTCATGCTCCATAAAACTTGCAAGATTTTAAATTAGTTACGAAAAAGATGTTAGATTTGTGTAGATTTAAAATAAAACCTCTATAAATTTCAAGGGCTGACATTCCACCCTTTTTTTACAAAGAAAAAGAAATTTTTGCAAAAGTCCATATATATTTATTGACATATTAGTTATAAATGATATATATAAATTACATATCTATATATAATTTATTTTATAAATAAAAATAGCAAGTTTAAATAAATTGAAAGCTAAAGTATGTGCTGAAATTTGTAGTAATTTTATGATAAAAATTTAAATTAAATTTAAAGGAAATTTATTTGGTAGTGTAGAACCAGAAGACAACAGTGCAAATAATCATTATATATACAATTGACATATATGAAAAGCTTTAAAATGAATTAATAATTTGATAATTTTAAATTAAAAACGAAATCAAAACCAGGAGCTGTTAAAAAAAAGAAGCATCAGATAAACCAGTGCCGAACAGACTAAAATCAATCAAATGATCACTTCAAAAAAATTGAAAAATGTGAATAAACAAATATTTATAAAATGATTATATTAAATGAAAATGTTTCTAAATCTCCAAAAAGGTTTTTTTATAAATAAAAATAAATGGATTTTACATTCACTAAGGAATTGGCATCATATATGTGTATGTATATATATATATTATATGGAGGGAGTGAAGAGAAAAATAATAGATGATTGGATTTTAATTTTTGCAGAATGTGAGGCAGATTGTGGTTGTGACCAAATATGGTTAGCTAATGCAAATTTATTTCTCCTTTTCTCGCATAGAGTTCATATACCTTGCTATGAAATTTTAACACTGTTTTAGTTTAACCCATGTATATCAAAACTGCATTGACAAAAAGTGCTACAAATTCCTTAAGAATTAGATTCAAAGATGGAATCTTCAAGAACTGAAAATTGAAAGTTGAACTTCTGCGGTATCCGAATAACTTTATAGAAGAATAAAGATGGCACAATAGCAAGGTTGTAATGTATTTATTTCTAACAATGGAATGTGCTTTATCATAGTAACAGAAAAAAATTTTTGATTTGATTTATTGATTTTATTAGGTATTTGATTGTTTTCTCCACCCATCTTTAAAAAATTCTTTACTACTAAGGTAGAGCAATCTTTGTCAGATTGCTATCAAGATAGTGTTTTATTAGAGTCTCTGCTTATCTAAGACTGTTTTTCTATTTGCCTTTGCATGTTTCTCTTCTGCTTAATTGGTCCTGGAATCTTTCAAGTTAGGTTTAGCTGTTTAAACATGAAATAATTTACCTTCTGAATAGAAGGTAAATTATTTCATGTTTTTCAGTATTAATTCAGGGCTATTCCTAATTTGAAATTTAAGTCTGGACTATGCTATGATTTTAATTCTTAGTTTTTCTTTATTGGCATTCTTAATTTTTACTTTATTGGAATTTTATATAGAAGTAGTATTATTTATCTCATTTGATTATATTACATATATGCTATTGTCACAGAACTAAAGTGATATCTTTAAGCTTTATGTTACAATGATTAGTTGCTTATGTGGCTAACAGTCTAAAATTGTTATCCTAAATTGTTAAAGTGAAAAATACAAGTAACAATACATGCCATATAAGCAACAATGACAGTTGCTTATCTGGCCAACAGTCTAAAATTGTTATCATAAAATGAAAAATACATGTAATGATTTTGATGAGTCTCCTTAGTGTAATTTCTTAAAAATATTTAAGTATTTCAAATTACACATCTCTTGATTTAAATTCATTTTTATTTAAATCAATCAGGTTAAAAAAACAGGAAAAATATTCTTAAGAACTGTGTTTTTTCCTTTTAAATAAAACTATTTAGTTTGTGCATCAGTAACAGATTAAATTTGAGCACTCTCCTGAATGCAACATACTGGCACTTGGAAGATAAAAGTATTTATTTTCTAGGTAACACATTGCTTTTAATAATTGGGTTTGTTGATTAAGATTGAAGGATAAATATCTTTTACTTTACCAAATGTCAATAATCTTGCACACTGGAGATAAAAATGTTTTATTTTAAAAAATGTTGCCACTGCTTGTTTTCAAATTGCTGAGTTTGTTAATCACAAATTCATTAAGTTCATACAAAATATGAAGCAAAAAACAAATACAAAATTTGGGCTTCGAGGTTCACATGCTTTGGTGGCTATAAGATGCCATCATTTTCCCACAGTGCAAGGAGCATACCCAACATGCATACATATTCTTCATTATTTAATAGTAAAAGTAATGTATTTATAATGGAATTTGTGTTTGTTGGGAACATTAATTAAATCGCTTGTAATTTGAAATTTATTGTATATATGTTTAAACATGAAATGAGCTATAAAACAATATATACATATGACAGTTGCAAATTGGTTATTGTTGTCCATCTTTAAGTAGTTTTTAAAAAGAATAGTTTTTCATCAGAATTTGTGTTCTTTTATATCTGTTAGTAACCTTTTTCTCATTTTCTGAAAAATTTTAGATTTATAAATTTACTTATTTTATTCACATCATAAAAACTTCTCATATTTATAACATGGCACCAATAAAAATGATTTTTTTCTCTGTTACTTTTAATATAAAGAACTGAAATCTTTTATTATTTTCACTGATAGTTTTATTTAGATTTTTAATTAAAATTGTATTTAAGCCATGTAGGAGACTGAATGCTTTTCATTTGTTAATTTTTTTTTTTTTTTTTTTTTTTTTTTTTTTAAGGATGACAAAATGATTGAAAAGTATCTCGAGGTTTGGGATGATTCAGTAAAGAATGAGAAAAAGAAACACTTTTCAATGACAATAAATATTGCCAACCAGGATCGCACCTTTGGTACTACTCTAAGTTATCACATTGCAAAGTAAGTTTTGAAATGCATTTTGTTCTGATAGATATAACTTTTGCTTACTGGTTATGAGTTTGAGTTTTTGATCAGGCAATAAATTATGATCAAATTTATTAAAAAATATATTAAATCGGAGAAATAGATAGAATTATTAATCTAAACACCTGTAATTAATTTTAGACAATCTATTTAAAGATTATTTTTTAGTTAAAATATTTTAGTAGATTATTTTAATGTAAGTACAGTCAAAAGTCGTTAATCCGGACCTCAAAGCTAGAAACTTTCTGCGCATGCGTCAATGCATAATGCGTTCACGCATGCACGTAATACCTTTACGCATGCGCATAATACGTTTATGCATGCACGTTTAATGTATAACAGATGATATAAACTAAGCTAAAATTATCTAATTATCTATTTCAGTTAATGTGGCAGATTGCGTTGTTCCTTAATCTTCAAATTGGATCAGGCTTATTATTTTTTGCAGACTTGTTAGAGCAATTTTATAAAAGTAAGCTTGAACTTTCGATTATGTCAAATAGCATTTCCGATGCTGGAGCTGCCAAATGATCTACAAAGCGAAAGCATGTTTCGATGTCCATCAAACAAAAAGTGGAATTGCTGCAAAAAATGGATAAATGCATATCCTTTGTTTCTCTAACCATTTAGAAATCTGTTTATCCATTTCATGCTGCTCTGTGGGGAAGGGGAACATCGCGGTGCGCAATGAACTGGAAGTTCATCTGTCGGCACTATCCTTATCTTCAGGGCAGATGTTTTTATTTTATTCGGCTTATAATTCATTACTAAATGTAGTATTTCATCTCGATGTACTCTGATATGATTTAAATCAAATTCATTATAAATATCACGAATACACATCAAATAGTTTTCTGGTTGCAGTTTTCTAATTTCGACTATGCGTAATGTATGCTTTACGCATGCGCGCGTTGAAAGAAATGTTTAATAAAATAAACAAGTAAATATTAAGCCTTTTTTTTGTAAATTTTGATACCCTTTAGATCATAATTGTTCTTTATTTCATAAATTACGGTTTTATGTTTTTAATTTTATAATTTCTGCATGCCGTCTTACCAGATTTAAACTGATGATCTATAATCCGGAAAAATCGATAATCAGTAATCGCCGAAGTCCCGACGAGTCCGGATTAAAGACTTTTGACTGTATTTTAAAATAACTATTAAATTGTAGTTGAATGAAAAAATTTAAATTTAGTAATCTGAATATATTGTTTTCTTGAAATGTGTTTTATTTGACCTATTACATAATTATTCAGGATTATTGTATTACTTTTGATAAGCTCTTTTATGAATGTTGGTATAGTGTGGAATAAATTTGTCCTGTACAGTGAGACTTTAAATACTCTTCCCCTTCCTTTCTGAGAATATTTTGTAACAATTTATGTTTCTTTCATGTTTTTTCAGCATATTTTGATTTTAATATAGAAACGTTTCATTTTGTAGTATTTTTTATCATCTTTTATGAGGGCTTTGGATATTTAAACATGCTCAAGTATTTTGCAGGCAGTTTGGTGATGCAGGTCTTCCTGATAAGTCAATTGAAGTGTTTGTGAAAGGATCAGCTGGGCAGAGTTTCTGTGCTTTCCTTGTAAAAGGAGTAACTGTTTGCTTAGAAGGTGATGCAAATGATTATGTTGGGAAGGTAAATCCTTTTTCTTTAAATTTATTTACCATCTATTGATATTTTAATTTATAATTTTAATTATTTTTATTAGGTTTTTGATACATATCTGTGATGTAAAGTAAGCATCAGGAAACTTTTGAGCTTGTATTTGGTTACATGCATTAACTACTAGGCTAAGAGAATTATTTCTCACATAGGGAAATGATAAATGAAGAAAGATGATAAGAATCTTGATATAAAACAAAATAACCTAAATTTTCTTCCAGGTGTCCAGGCAGAAAGCAGATATACTATTAAACTGCTTTGTGGGAGGGAGAATATGGTCATTAAAAATGTGTTTTAGAACATTTGCTTGAATATGAAATTTTTAAATCATATATTTAAGATAACTATTATTGATTTTCACTTTCTTTTATCCTCAAAAATAAATGGACTATATCTTGACTATTATAAGCTAGAATTTTAACTTTTTAGATAACACATTACATTTTATTTTGATTATTATTAATAATAAATTTAAGTAGTCTGTTATAATTGAAATGCTAAGTTTCTATATATTTCTGTCTATTCCTAACTATCATTTTTAAAACAATAGAGTTAATTGAATGCATTATTTCACTACCTCTGTTGGCTTTTGAGATCTATTTTTGGATTGAATAACTTAATTATCACAGATATATTAAGTTATTCATGGAATTCCCTAATGCAAACTGAATCGTATTCATATACATAGGGAAAACCTAGAAAGCTCCATACCTTTTATTTACTACAAAATGAACTTAAAACAAGCTACCAGTGCTCCAAGGTCTTATACATTTGGTTACTGTTAGGAATTGTTGATTTTAGAAAAGAAGACAACTTGAGCTAACAGAGTGATATAAAATCTTCCAAAAGTATTTTTCCAGTATTGACTCTTCATGAAAAACTAAGCAAAATATTATTTTTGTTTTTAAATGTATAGAATCAATTTATAAACTTTTATTCCTATTTAAAAGTTTTAGTTTACTTTCTGATACTGTCCACTTACGATTACTAATTCATGACAATTACATCACAAGAAACGGCATAGTAGTGTGGCATAGATTATAATAAAGTAATAAAAATCAGGTATACTTAGGCCAAAGAATTTGTATATGAAGTAGCAAAGAAATCCATTAAACAGATCCTAAATATGCGAGTGGCGTAAGAAATTTGTGGAAATAGTCCACCTGCTTTTTATAAACAGTGTACTTGTCTAAATGCATTTCTTTTGCCACATGCATGTTGAAAGTCTTTTGCTATTTTGTACAGAAATTCCTTTGGTTTCAAGTATATGACTTATTTTCTGTGAAACATGCCAGCATGCATATTTTATTTAGAGTAGTGAATCATACTTGGAAGTAAATGAAAGTATTAAATTGCTGTTGCATGTTGGCAGGGAGGCTTGCCATCTTATTTATTTAGTATTCAGAGAGGGATGAAAAACATCATTAGGAACCTGCTATAGCATGAAGACTTTACCATAACAGAAGAAGTTTTAAAATTTCTCTTTATCAATAATTTTATATTATTAGCACGATAGATGCTATTAGTCTTGATCCTTACTTTTTCATTGATTAATTTATGCATCATCATAATTTTCGTATCTTAATCACTTTTCAGATGAAAAGAAGGTTGCCTCCAAATGTTATTGCCATGTTTTTAAAGAGATAATACAGTGATATAAATATGAAAAGTCTCATGTGTACACCACGACTTCCTTGTTCGGAATATTAAATTATACACATTTTTTTTTTCTGCATTTCATTTAAACTTCTTGAATTAAATCTATTTCAATAGCACACAAACCACAATAGAATAAATGCACTCTTTAAAATTCACTATATTTATTTACTATAGCGACAATCTGGCGCTAGGTTCACTTAGCAGCGTTACATCTCATTCCTTTTATAACTCAGAAATTCACAAAAATTATATCATCTGAAGAATTATTTTAGTCATTGCCACATGTTCTATTCAAATACTATAATAAAAATCTTAAAACTATGTATAAAAGAAATTAAACAAATTTTAAAAAAACACGTTTTTTACCAGACGATTCAACGCCGCTTACCTAATGCCCATGCGCTACTCGCATCAACATTCTCCTTCTGTCCGTGATAGACTCGGCGACAATATTTGCTGCTAATATGAAACACTTACTTCCTCGAATTTTATTAGAACTATATTTCTCATTCAATTAATTCAGTTATCACTTAGCAATAAGGCAAAAATACATAAGAACTCAAAATATCTTCATTAAAAATGAAAAGGTATAGAAAAACGTAAGACACCAAATACAGTTAAAACAATTAAAAATCCCTTTTTGCAATTGACATTAGAAATTCTGCGTAAATACGAACTATTTGTCCATTAGACAAAAAGGCAGATTTTTTTTCTGCACGAAATTCAAAGTTTCCTTATAGCCCCACTAGGCGAAAAGACACTAAAAGTGCGTAAGATTTAATTCTCTATTTTGCTAAGTTTCAAATGTAAACAAATATGGCTGCTATGGTAAGAAAAACTAGGTTTAGCTGCACTTAAACAACTTTTAAATTGTTGATAATTCTACAATTATTGCATGCAAATAAACTAAAGGCATACAACTCTAATCAGAAGATAAGAACAACATAATTCAGTCACTTTTAAAACAAAAAATGCACAATTTGCCAACATATAAGAATAAAACAAAACTGAGCTCACGGAGCCAAGTAACAAAGTGAGTATATATATATATATATATACCCGCTCTGCTAACAAAACCCGCTCTGTTAATATAAAACAAAACTGAGCTCACAGAGCCGAGTAACAGAGCAGGTATATATACATACATACATATATGTATGAAATGTAATTCTTTCTCATACATTATTTGTTTTGTGCAGCCCGGTGCAACAGGAATGAGACAAATTTTGGAATATAAAGTGGTAGGTTTTATTTTAGCATCCATCTCACAAGCGTTTCTCCTCGTACCTTGAGCAGAAGCCCTACTTATACATATGTGTACGTCACGAGGCTCCTCCAATCAGCGATATTTAATTGAAATCACGAGGTGACGCTATCTCTCATCAAGAGTGTTCTTAAAGGACTTTATGTAATATGACAGATTTATGAGTTTGGCGATTTGGCGGGCGCCAACAGGTTAATATATTTTATACTAAAGAAAGGATTTCGCCAAAATTTAGGAACAGGGATGCAATTTAGGTAGAGAATCGCCATCACATTATTAAGCAATATTATTAGAATTTAATTTAATCAATTAATTTAAAAATATCATTACAGATTATCCCCCCCATCTGAAAAGGCTTGCAGTCGCGGCCGTCGACCCAAGACAGTCCAGATAGTGAGAGCAGAAAATTTAGTTATTAGGAAATTAAGTGAGTAGGAAAACTGATTGGATTTATCTCAAGGCACACAAAATGTTTACGTAAAATATGACATAAAATATTTGAATATAATTAATATGGTATATAAATAAAAAAATGATTAATGAAATTATAATATAGTAACTAAGTGCAGAACAAATAAAGCACTAATAACATATTGCTGGTTAGCTACGCGGCAATAGGAAATAGTAATATAACTGAATTTGTAAGTTTATATCTTAGGGCATGCCATTCACAGTTTGTGTATGAGTCCGTACAAATCATTAGAGTTGTCATTCAGGCTCATCTTCAGTCTTTTATTACTGGTCTTTGGAGATCCTCCGGATCATTTAATTAGCGCTAGAATTATTGATTGATCAGCATTGGCACTGAAAACATTTGAGTTTTTATGTCACGATACTAGAGCTCTTATACTCTTGTTGAAAATACACATTTTGCTAGGTTTTTAACATATTTTGTCACTTCTATTTTTATCTTATTAATGATAACAAAACAAAATTTAACTTTCCAACATCCATACCAGTTTTTTGTACACGGATGCTGCAGAAACATAAAAAGAAATTCAGAAATTTCAACAACTTGAAATTTAACTTTTTCAACTTGTTGCTACAATTTACATAACACAACATAGGAAAACACGATGAGCTCAAGGAAATGTGAGGGTATAGTACTCTACTTGTAGTATAGCCTCAATTGAGTGTTTCCCACACGGGGAAGTGCATTGAACCTGAAACTCAAGTTTGAAAGGAGCCCAGTAAAAGAAAAGAGGGGCAGACAAAGCTTTTCAGACATACTGAGAGATAAATCAACTATTAAGGGGGACAACAGGATGAAAAACTAAAAGAAGGGTTATGGATAGTTTATTGATTTATAAATTTTGATTTATTCATGATGTAATTTAAAGTTCTCGGGTGGATAATAGAACCTTAATTTTGACGCATGTACAATCTCAGTTGGTTTCTTCGTGTGAAAATTTTCCCTGTCGATTTCATAATTAACTTCAGATAATTTATTCATAATCCGATAAGGGCCTGAATAGGGTGAAGTCAATTTTCTAGTATTTGGGTATTCAAATTCCTTCGTAAAAAAGGACAAAGTCTCCAGGTTGAAATTTAGATTCTACAAATCTGGTGTCATATCTAGTTTTATTCTTTCGGTGGTATTCGATAGTTCTTTTCTTTGCTAAAGCCCTTGCTTCATTTAAGGAAGGGTATTTATTTTGATCAATTGGAGATTCAAAAGGGAGGTTACCAAATAGTAAGTATGCTGGGGTGAACTTAGTTACCGTATGAGGGGAGTTGTTATATTCGATAACAAACTTGCTCTAGCACTTTAGTCCATGGTACTTTTTTAGAAGAAGAATTTACTTAGTACATAATTTTAGTCGACTTACTATTGATTGATTTACTCTTTCTACTTTACCATTTGTCTGGGGATGGTGAGATGAAGTTAAAAGTTGTTTAACATTATGCTTTTTAAGAAATTTTTTGAATCTAGAGGAAGTGAAGGCTGTCATTCCTGTCACTCAGAATTTTTTCGGGGACTTGTATTTGAAATATTTGTTTTAGACAATTGGCATAGGTTTCTGAAGTTACACTTTTAGAGGAAAAGCCC